AGGCAAAAATTTACTTCAGTTAGATTTCCTCAAGAAAGGAACTATTCTTAATTTTCTTCCCTAGTATAGCGCTTACAGTAAATTAGAAGTAAGTCTTAAAGAGCACTTTTGTCTCACTGATAAAGTTTAACATAGAATAAAAATAAATAAGGTTAGTCAGATAAAAATCCAGCGGTAAACATCGCGACGCTAAAAAGTGGTTTGAAAGGTGTAGCTATAGCCACTGTAACGCTAATATTATGGCGAATTAACCACTTATCCCAATAGGCATCTTTGGCACCAGTTAGCGATTGAAGTGGTGTTTGCTAATTGCAGTTTTGTCACAGCCGTGTCAAAAAAACTAGAAGTGCTTTGGCTGGATGCCAAAATTAGGGTTACGCTGCTCTGGCAAAATTTCAAAGCTGTGGTCGCTCAATAACTACTGAAGACGGCAAGCAATATCACTTGTTTAGAAATGATGATAAAAAGTTATCCATCTTTTGGAGGCATTTAGGTGTTAGTAAGGTATGTTGATGATACATTTTTTGTTGTCGCTGTTTATTTTTTTATAACTGTCGTATGATTTAGCATAAAATTTCTATGTAAACTGCCATTGTTTCATTCCCTTTGCTTATTTGTTTACTTCGTTTTTGAAAAAAGATTTTTTAGATATATGTTTGTGTACTTGTCCAATAGTTGCTGGGACTTTTTCTTGATGAGATTTTGACTTTCACTTTTCAGCGATAGTTTTAAGAGGGAGACAAGTTGCTGAACGGATTTTGAAATGAGGCTTTTGTTGATTCCTTTTATACTGATATTTTAGTAGTAGGCGCGCGTTTCCTGAAATATGCAACTGATAATTATATGCAGTGCAAACCTTATCGAAATGAACTGGAAGCTTGCAGAAGTTTGCAGTTTCCTTTGCTTTTAAGTTTTATTTTTTTTAAATGTTTTTAGAAATGATACTTTACTTCTTCATGCAGAATAGATACTTTTCCAAAGAATACTTCTGTAAGTATTCTAGTTGTGGTTTTTCTTGAAACTGCTTGAAATATCTTTTTCTGCAGAACACTTTGACCAAATGTCAAGCTTGCATAGGAAGATAGGGTTTAGTGACTGAATGAGATGTACTAGCAAATAAGTCGGAATTTTTTTGTATTAGTTCTTTGTAAGGAAATGGTTCATATACATATTCTCACAAACTACAGCTGCACATGTTGGTGAAAATCCGGATTTTTTTCGCGATGATTGCGGTTTGAATTAACGGCGTGTGCAATTCCTTTAATTTGAGGCTAGACATCGTGATTGAAAAATTATCTAATTTCTAAAAAATTTTAAAAGATCAGTTGAAGGACTGCACAATTTTCACGTGGGATTGCTTAGTTTACGATGCCAAAATTGTTATGAAATTGTACATTTTTTTTTTTTTTTTTTTTTTTTTTTTTTTT